TATAAATGTGACTGAAGGGCCTGGTGATGATTGTCATGTTGTTGAAACTTCGGATTGTGATGGGGCAGACAATGACTCTGTGGTCGTTGAGAATGATGTTGAAGAACTTTAAAAAGATACTTCATAAAATTCTCCATATCTAATTGAAAACACTTTTACATATAAACATGCTGTGATATTAAAAGGAAGATAACATTTATATTCAACTGATACTGATAACATGGTGAAAGTTTTCTATTTTTGTTATTTTATGTTGTTATTTGTTAATATATAGTGTTTGTATATAAATCAACTTTATATTTTAAATACAGGTTATTTTAAGACAGTACAACTGAATATTTTAGACTGAGATGTGTATGTTTAATATAACTACAGTCTACATTATGTATAATTTTTTACGTTTATATATTTCCATTGATTTACTATTCTCTGAGGTTTATAACTTTACCTAAATATATGTTGGTCTAATAACTTGCAAGATATTTTTTTCCCACGCTGGGTTTCTGCAAGATTTTTTTTCCTCTGAACTGACCTTGCACGATTTTTTTTTCTGAAATTGCCACCCACCCCCCCCCCCTCCCCCATTTTCTAATGGTCCGCCCCTAACTAATTGTCAAGCGTGTTTGATTTTCCCGTTGCACAGACAACGGGAAATTCTGATTGGTTAAAAAACAATAAATATTCTGATAACATTAAAACCCATCACTCAGCTGGCTTTATACTGTAAACAGACATTTGCGGAAATTAATATCTATCTGGCAGCGGGAAGCAACGAAAATTGATACGCATACGTATGTAGTTGAAAGTCTTACAACAAGCTTACAGGAACAAACGCTTGCAATAGAGTGCCTACTTGAAGGTAGAGATGTTCTAGCTGTCCTTCCTACGGCCGTACGGGATTTGGAAAGAGTTTCCTGTTGGCTGAAGATATATTCGAAGGGTTTGTTCAAGCCCAACTAGTATTCTAGTAGTGATTTAAATTGTTCCTCTTCGTAGCATTATTGATGAACAGTTACGGTCCAACGACTTTGCATTAAGGATGATCGCTTTTGGAAATATTAACTCGGCCGTTCTTATAGTGGGATCAAGGAAACCAATTTTTAGATATTTGTGTATGCGTCTGCTGATGAAGCTTTGAGCCTTTGTCTCCTGAATTTGTTGCCTTGTTGAACTCAGTTGAAGAATAAAAGCTCGCCATTCAGAAACGAACTGTCCCTCATAGTCGTTGATGAATGTCACACAGTTAGGCTAATTAATACATGGTGACTTGGTGAGTTTATGGAGTTTGGGTTTATTATAATATTGTACAGTATGTCTTTGTAAATATGTATGTATGTATCGTATATTGTATATTATTATACATTTAATATGTATTCTCGTTTCTAATTGGTCAGAAAGCACCAGCTAATTTTCAGTATTCGGCATTTATTACGTATTTTCCGCCGATGACGTCATCAGCGTCCAATAATTGTTTTTTTGGATCGAACTTGCATCCAAAAAAAAAATTATTGGACTCTCTCGTGCCCAAACCCTTGCGCGGCCAAAAGCTTGAACCTATAAGCGCGCGAAAAAACCCCAAACAAACAATGGCCTACAGCAGATTTGCTTCGCTGAATGAAAGTGAACTCTCCAAATTATTGGCAGATAAGGATAGTGAAAGCACGAAAAAAGCCACAAAGGGGTAAATAGAAGTAGAAATAGAATATTTAGCTGACCTTTGACTTTGTGCAAGGTGTTTGATATTGAAATTGTACTTTTCCTACCTCATGAACAGGAATCGTTTTATACGTTTCTCATGTCTTTATTAAATGTATAATAAAACAATTATTGGATTCGGCTTTCGCACGATATCAAGAATTATTCAGACCTCGGTCTATGTTATCCGCCTCAGCTTCGCTTCGGCAGATAACATTGACCTCGGTCTGAATAATTCTTGATATCATGCTCAGCCTCATCCAATAATTGCTTATTGTATGTATTGTTTTGATCTTACAGTAAATGGAATAGTCATATTGACAGTACCAATGTATCATTAATTAAGAAAGCCTCTAAAAGATTGTATTTTTTATACGTCAGTTAAAACGTGCGAATGTACCCGCTGCTGAGATGATTTGTTTTTATTGTACTTGCATCCGACCTAGATAGTAGAATATGCATCGCCCGTTTTTCATTACGGAATCCCAAATTACCTGAGTAAAGACATTGAACGGATACAGAAATCATTGAAGATCCAAATCACAAACTTCGCGGCACTATTGCCGGATTTGAACTCAAATACTGCACTGTCTGCACATTAATCCCTGAGGACTTTCCAATAATTAAGACTAATAGATA